TCGTACTGGCGCCGAGCCTGTCTTGAACCAGTGTACCGTACCTGTCCCAATTCAGCACCGTACCGAACCAACGTGGAACACCATACCGTACCAACTCCGAACCTGAATAGCAGCCTGTCCCGATATCATACCAGCTTGATGCCGCATATCGTACCACGCAGCGCCGTGATAGTACCGAGTCTGCCCCGAACCAGAGTGACGTGCCCGAATCGAACCAATGGCTACTCCAAAAATATGAAGCACGTACCAAAGTAGCCACAGCGGTAGTGCCACACCAACCATGTGGACCCACTCACTCAAAATACCCAGATTACGACGAGAGTAGCAATCAAGTAATCAGGCAAATCAGGTAAATCACGCGAGGGTTCACAACTATCCGGAAATCGAAAGAATCGCCAAACTCGGGGTAATTAAATAATTCCGAGCAAAAACCCATCATGAATAATTTTAATAAAATTTAATCAAATAATAAATAATCACTGGTTTTCTTTTCTTTTGTTATTCTTAATTTTTTTTCTCATTTTTAATTTCATCATCGGGAATAATGAAAATAACGGATAATTTCCGCAAGAGTGAATCCCGATAAAATTTAAATAAATAGCAATTATTCCATCATTCTCATTCCTATTATCTTCAGTTATTTTTCCCAAATTTAATTTTGATATTAAAATTAATAAAAATCCGAGGCATTATTTCCCCACCAATTGTATGATGCAGAAAAGACGCGCCAAGGCCTATTCCCGTATTCCCATCCCGTGGCTAGTCGCTTCGGTTTCAGACTCGGAACGAACGAAAACAATAGGTACTAGGCGCGACAGGCATGGCCGTCCCTTTCGTCTATTTCAAGGGTCAGTGTCAATACTTGACATGGAGAATATTAGGGGTCTCTTTCCGACCCCTAATTTTTCCCGATGGCTCCGATGGAAATCTCGGTCAATCCTTCTCTAGGCAAATAATCCAAGGGTCAATCCGCCAAATTCCGGGTGGCCGACTGACCTTCGGCCGCCCGACAAAGGGTCCAGCGTCCCATTCGAGATCACAAAAACTGAGTTTGGCCTGCCAGCAATGATTGCCCTTGTCACCGGGGGGGGGGGGTTGACTGAGCAGGTAGTGCAGTGAATGACAGTTGCAAATAGGAGTCGAGTTGTAACCGAAGATCGTATTGCCGAACCACCTCCACCTCTTCAGTCTTGATCAGGCCGCCAGAAGCAACGCTCCACCTTAGTGGTCCCCACACATTGCTTCCACAAGGGGAACTTAAGAGCGCAATTTGTTTTTGGTTTTTTTTTTCAAATTCTGTTCATGTGATTGCATCTGGATTCGAACTTGGGTCTGCATTTCAGGCCTGAGAACTCGGACGCAACTTGTTCGCATGACCCACAAGACCAAAAGTTTTTTTTTAAACCACCAGTACCTGGCCCAGCTATCGGCCGCAGTGCTTCCCGTATACGCGCCGCACCATTTGGGCTTCAGCATGCCGGACCGCATTGGCTGGAGGCCGCAGGCAAAACGAAAAATAAAATTGTGACAGCGGTTCGGCAGGACTTGGCGCGCAGCGTGCTGGGAGGCTCGGATTCAATAGCTGAGCGAGGTACTGGTGGTTTAAGCCCAGGGTGTTGTAGAGGCCAAGGACCAGACCCGTGGTGATTGCTGGCAGCGGCAGCCGATGGTTGTCCTGACAGGATAGGCCACCTACCCTACCCATCCCCACGTTAATACTCCCAGCGCACCACCTGTCCCTACTATCCTACCTCAGTGTGACCAGCACTCAGGACCATTACCCTATACCACTATCGAGGGGCAACTTGGACCAGACAACAGTGACAACAAGCACTAAGGCTGGGCCAATCCCCCAGCCCTAGTGGAAGGGGAGGCGGACGAACCTTGCCGTACGGGAACTTCGGACACCAAGCTCATGCACATGCAGTCTTCTACAGGCCCAATCCAGAGAGGCTACCCAGCAGTACCTAAGCAAGGCAAGCCGGCACCCACGAACACATCCTACCGTCCTTCCCCTAACTTACCCAAGGCCCGGCGGAACTCAGACTAACCGGAGCGACTTATATCCCTACCCTACCCTACCCTAGAGCTAATCCATGCATCGGTAGACCCCATCATGTACCTGATAGACCCCCCCAGCCTGGTATCATAGCTATGCATGTTTGTATGAGCCCGCAGGCTGTGTATATATATTCACGAGCCATGTTTGTGTCTGCCCGAAGGCTATATATGTGCTTTGCGTAACTGTATTGCGAGATGTATATGCCCGAAGGCCAGATATGTGCAAAATACAATGTAGAGGTGTTCATTGACGAGATGACAGGCCAAGCTGGACAAGAACCCCCCCAAAGTCCCATGCCAGCCAGACTCAAACCCGTGATCTATGACATGTGACCTGAAGACTCTACCATTTGAGCAACAATAACAAACTGCACCTGTGTGTGATATGCCAGACTGGAGAGATCAACAGAACAACCACGAGCAACATAACCGCATGCAACCCACGTATCAAGACCCGACATACAACACCATAGACCACCCTCGGGTGGTGCGCAGGCAGCGTCTGTAATGGCTTACCATGGGTCAGCCCAAGGGTGTGTGTTGTCCAGCCGTGCGTCATTATAACGCCCTGCCGGTGTCCATGCGCAAGGCTGCAATTGAGTTTCGAACCCGCAGCCTCATACCACAATGCGCATTTCCAACATGGTGCTCTAGCCACTGAGCTACATCAACTGGACTCGCCTAATAACACCTTGAACCACCATTATTTCCTCAAAAATCGCACAGACCCCCGCAGACCCAGGAGGGCGGGGGAGGGGATGAGAGAGGGGGGGGGGGAACACGGCCAGTAGATCGTCAAACCAACATGCAAACTGAAAAACAGGGCATGCTACGTGGGGACCATCGCCCTGGTCAGACGTAAAACATAGCATGCTTTACTAACACACCATGCACACCCTAGACACCCTAAACACTCTACTACACAGCCTAAGAGCCTGACCACCATGGGTGGTGGGGACCACCACCTACACACAAGAATATACTACCATCAAAACTCTTCTGGTAAAATCGATTTCCTAGTTTATCGTCTTCTTTCAAGTTCTTCCATTTATTGTTCCAAATTCCAATTGTATTTCTCAAATATCATCCTAGTTACATTTCTTACAAGTTAATAACTGTTCCAGCTCTTTTTTTTTTTTTTTTTTTTTTTTTTTGGGTGTTCCAGCTTTCCACCACATCAGCACAGTAATTCTCTTTTTTGTTCTTTTTTCCCAAAAGAGGCTCCTCCCGTTCCCCCCGCCCCGCCCCCTTTACTCCCTCATCATTTATTTACTTTTGTCAAGACTACAATTCAGAGGCATTTTACTATTTTTACTTTTTTAAACTATTCTTACTCCTTTGAATTCCATTGGAATTCAAACTCAGGTCTGTGTTTCAATGGTTGATAGGTATCCCAACTGCGCTAGGCCAGTCAACGGGGAAGGCCCGCGGCCCATGTATGGGCCTAGCGCATTTAAACAAATGACACATTTAAACCACCAGTACTTGGCCCATACATGGGCCGCGGGCCTTCCCCGTTAACGCGCCGCAGTTTTCGGGGTTCGGGGAAGGCCCAGCAGTGCATTGGAGGAGGACATGCGTGGGCCCACAGAAACGGGGCAAATGGACTGTAAAATGTCCTGGTGCTGTGCTATGTGGAAACGAGCGGACGGAGGCTGAAGGCGACCAGGGGAAAAAGAGAAAAGAAAAGAAATCGTTGTTTTTCTTTCTTTTTCTTTTTTTTGGGAAGAAAACTCATTTTTCACGAGTGTACGTCAGCTTCTTTTTCTTTTTTTTTGGAAGAAAACTCGTTGTTCATGAGTGTACGCCAGCCCTTCGGATTTCAGGGCTTCCCTGTGACGTTAGCACGTCTTAGAATGTATCTGGCTGCCCTTGTGGGCACAGTGGATGAATCTGAGGGCAATCACGTTCAGAGCTTGGTATCTCTTTTCCCCTTTTTTTTTGTTTTTTTGTTTTCTTTTTTGAAGCAGTATCTCGGCTGTTTGTGCTTCWGCTCCCTGTGAGAGACAGGGAGCATTCAATGCTTGCCAACCGTTTCATTTCCAGGGCTTCACTGTGATGTAGCACTTTCCAGAATGTATCTGGCTGCACTTTGGTGCAGCAGAGGATGTATCTGAGGGCAATCACGTTCAGAGCTTGTTATCTCTTTCCCCTTTTTTTTCGTTTTTGTTTTTGTTTTTTTTGGAAGTAGTATCTCGGCTATCTCGGCTGTTTGTGCTTCTGCTCCCCGTGAGAGACGGGGAGCATTCAATGAGTGCCAACCGTTTCAATTCCAGGGCTTCAATGTGGCGTAGCACTTCCCAGAATGTATCTGGGCTTCAATGTGACGTAGCACTTTCCAGAATGTATCTGGCTGCACGTCGCTGCAGCAGCGGATGTATCCGAGGGCGATCACGTTCAGAGCTTGGTACCTCTTTTCCCTTTGCTTTTTGACTTTCCAGAATGCATCTGGCTGCACTTCGCTGCAGCAGTGGATGTATCTGAGGGAAATCAGGTTCAGAGCTTGGTACCTCTTTTCCCTTTGTTTTTTTTTTGTTTTTTTGTTTTCCTTTTGCAGCTGTTTGTGCTTCTGCTCCCCGTGAGTGGCGGGGAGSATTCAAAGAGATCTTTCAAGATGGATCCGGCTGCACTTCTGCCCAGGCTAGTTTCATGTACACGAGTGGAAACGACAAAACTATCGCCTCTTTACATTCCAGCTGCTGGCAGCAGGTCCAGAATAAGGGTGGTACCTGTGCCAAGCATCAAATGTCCCATGTTGGTTCCCGCCCCCTGCAGGCTCGGTAAAAATCGGCGCGCAGGGCATATTCACGCTCAGCTTCAGTAGCTAGGCCAAGTACTGGCAGTTCAAAAAAAAAAAAAAAAAAAAAAAAAAAAAAAAAAAAAACGCACGGTAATTGGCTGTCATAGAGACTCGTAGTCAACTGAATGCCCACAGATACACGGCAATGAGGTCCATACGCAGTTTGCGACGGCTTTTAGTACACACACACAAGCCATGATGCACATAAGACATGTATGGATATATACACACGATCTTGAGGCACAACACACCTCCTTATACACAGGACGATTATCAAGGGGGGCCACGAGCGCTGCGCACTAGCCCAGCCTCCCATGCCCTGAACTCCTCTCGCTGATGCACCCAGACACGGAAAATTTTGTGAGAGTAAGCTGCCCTCCTTCCTTCACAGGCCCCTTTCTAATTTTTTTGAGCCCTCCCCCTGACATTCGTCGCCATCCTCGTTGCCAGCCTTGTTCCCCGTTCTTTTTTATTTCTCCTCGCTGCCATTGGTGGAGCTCCTAGGCTCCGTTTCCGCAGGGCTCCTCACCCAGCTTCCCCCGGCTTCTGCGGGACTCTGCCTGCCTTCCACTGGGCTCCTCACCCGCCTTCCACTGGGCTCCCCATCCACCTTCCGCAGTGCCCCTCACCCGCCTTCTGCGGGGCTCCTCACCCGCCTTCCACGGGGCCCCTCGCCTGCCTTACACGGGGCTCTCACCCGACTTCCGCGCGCCCTCTCGCATGCCTTCCACGCCCCCTCTCGCACGCCTTCCGCTCTCCCTTTCCAATGCCTTCCGTGCGCCCTCTCGCACGTAAGTAAACTCATCTGCGCTCCCTCTTGCACGCCTTCCGCATGCCCTCTCGCACGCCTTCCGCTTGGTTCCTGCATGCCTTCCGCGAGGCAACAATCAACAGGCACCTCCGACCTGCTACTCCCTGACACACAAAAAAATGTCACTCTTACACATGATGCACACTTCTGAGATGAAACCTGAAACCACCAATCTCCATTTCCTTTCTGCTGTGATTGATTTCTGATCACATGTTGCGGAGTCATTCCCACACAAGAAGAAAGCCATTTTTGTCACAAGAGACAAGTGGCCGGCCAAGGTCGCACCATGCGCATGCGAACACCGGACTGGTATGCCCTCGAAGCACTCGCTCAAGGGAGGCAGTGGTGTGAGACCAGACGTACACATTACTGTCGGAGGAACCTGCGGCAATGTACTTGTCGTCAGGACTCATACATGCCCTGCTCCAATTGGAAGGGGCTAAATACCCAGGGGCTCGGAGTGTGCACCGGGCTTCGAATGTTCGAAGATCGAACACATTCAACACGTTATCTCGTCCGTTTGTGAGAATGGACGTTCCTCCCTGCGATACTGAGATGCTCGTGATGGCTCGTGAATGCGCCGGCACCTCGTTCACAAGCACGCCATTCTTCATCTCCCAGAAGCGCAAGTGGCCGTCTGTGTGGCCGGTACAGATCATTGCACCATCTGGAGTGAGGCAGAGGGCATTGCAGTTGCTGTGCGTCAAGATTGTCTGGATACCATATCCTCTCTGCACATGTACCGCCACACAACGACGATCACCGATACACACGTCCACAACCACATGCACACACACAACACATTTTTAATCAGATCACCTTGGCCTCTTCAGGATTGCGAATTTGCAATGTACATATTGACACCTTCACTGAAACGAATTAAAAAACAAAAAGAAAGAAATGAAACACAGCAGATGCAGGCTCAGGAATCACACATCAAGGATCAAGCTCACAACTGAAGGCTGGAAGAATATGCACTTGGCTGTGCACACACAGGACACTTGGTCCATGTGCTTGTCAGTCACACCCACCTGCTTTTGCGAACAGGCAGAGATGCATCACATGCGCGCGCGCACACACACACACACACACACACACACACACACACACACACACACGCCCACACACCCACACACAGCGACACACCCACACTCACCCACCCACCCAGCCACACGCACACACACACACACACACACATTTGAGTGGATAAATGTGGCGATGGTCGGGACCGTACAAGGGGTCATGCCAATGGGTATCCATGTGTGGAGTGGTCTGTGTCTGCGTGTTCCTAGGGTGACGACAGACGTTCGTCGAAGTGGCTTCCTGGCTCCAATGGTGGTTTGAACCAATGGTCCACAGTGTTCTACTTGTGGCACGAGTAGGCGATGAGCTGCTTTGGTTCGTGCTCGTTGCGTGGACTACTTTGTCTGCCGCCTGGAAGCCCATCTACTTGTCTTGGCTTTACATGCTGCTTGCCTTGTCATTTGGTTCCCTTTTGTCACGCTGCCTTTTGTCTCACTGCCTCGTGCCTCTCTCTCTCTCTCTCTCTCTCTCTCTCTCTCTCTCTCTCTCTCTCTCTCTCTCATTGTGCCATGCGCGTTCTTTTCTGACTGCTTTCATGCCTTGCTGCCTTGTGCCTTGCACGTTGCTTCACCACCACCCATCCATGCTACTTGCCTTGTCGTTACACAGCATTTTGCGTCGCTGCCGTTTGCCTCACTGCGTGCCTCACTGCCGTTTGCCTCACTGCATGCCTCGCTGCCGTTTCCCCACTGCCTCTCTGCGCTGCATGCCTCGTCTTTCCGTGCAGCTTGTCTCTTCGTTCGGCTGCCCTGCGCCTTGCTCGTTGTGTACTCATCGTCTTTCCGACGAAGTTACCGACGAAGTTTCCGTCCTTCTTTCCTTCACTTTCCCTGCCACTTGTCTTGTCGTTTGGCTGCCTCTGCCTCGCTGCCTCTTGCCTCGCGCGTTAAACACTCCACCTGGGGAGTACGGCCGCAAGGCTGAAACTCAAAGGAATTGACAGGGGCCTGCACAAGCGGTGGAGCATGTGGTTTAATTCAACTGCCTCTAGCCTCGCTGCCTTTTGCCTCGCTGCCTCCAGCGTCAATGCCCAGTGCCTGATGCTCAATAGTGCTGCCTTGTGCCTGCTGCTCATGGTGTTCAAGGCCGGGCAGGGGGCATTGCATACAAGGTTGGGAGGTGGGTGAAAGTCAACATCCAGAGACCTTGACCTTCTGAAAATGTGCCTACCCCACACAGGTCTAGGCCTCGAACAGTTGAACTTCCCCAGTGCAGACTGGCGGCAGGCAGTTCTCAGATCTGACCAGGTTCAGGCTTCCGAGTACGGAAACTCGGCAGATTTGAACTCTCACACATCCAGAGTTCACCCAGCCTGAGCCCCAGCACTGCATTGACCAGATACGCCGCACCCAGTCCACTTGCACGCAGGCTATTAAACCACCGGTACCCAAAATCGCCCTGCGCGCCAAAAAAAAATTAACGGGTGCGGGCCTCCTTTTTTTTTAATAGAAAAAACTACCCTGGGAGCTAGGGGTGCTGGTATGAGCAGACGCCTTTATCTCCCCCGGGGAGGCTCCATCTATTGGTGGGGAGCAACACCTGCTGGAAATCGGGTCCAGCGTTCCTTACACGACATTCATTACAGTCTCGCTGCATTGTTCCTGAACGCCTGCCAGCATTGATTACCCTGAAGACAGGGGATTGACTGAGCAGGAGGATGAGTGTGCAGGTAGGGAAGGAAAAAGGGGCCTCTTCAGCCCTTCTGCCGGGCGCCCTCATTTTGGCTGGCGCCCAGCCATTCCGGTTCAGTCGTACCGGAGCCCGCTTGGCTCCCGACTATACCGGCGCGTATTTGATTTTAAAGCGGGGAAAGGTGCTGGTGGTTTAAAGCACCGGTACACCACACATCGGCCCCATGGGTGTCAGCACGAAACCCGCACCACCTCGGAGGCCGCCGCTGTTTTTTTTTCAACGGCGCCCCTGGCCGCGCAAAGCCTCCGAGTTTTGCTTGTGGCGACGAAAACTTTCTGCAAGGCTGGGACCGTGTACTTGCGGTTTAAGCCATCACTCTACATTCACAGTCACAGGATCAAGTGCATCCCATCTAGTCATTGCCATCCTCACCCCAGACCCCTAACTATAGACTGTTGGGTCCGTTCCGTGCATATTCCTCAATCACTCCTGGGATTTGCTTGCCAAAGCAGACTGTCCCAAAGACTGCTACCCCCACTAAGAGCTGCCTGGGAGAGGGACACAACCTGGAGGTGGTCAGAAGCCATGGTTAACCAACCGGCCGAATGCTCAGTTGGAACACCCATGAACTGTTGAAATACAGACCCAAGTTTGAATCCAGATGATGGGACTAGTTGAATGAATTTCTGGATTACCTGGGCACGGTGAGTTCCACAGTGATATCGCAAGGCCGTCACTTTCCTTAAAAGAGGGAGAAAAAAGAACAAAGGCTGTTGTATGATGGTTCATGTACATGGTGGCATGGAGGAAACTCTCGAACACTGGAAGTTGTTTTCCACGCAGCCATGTGAAAGGCTATTCCAAGGTGCTTTCTGCACACTCCTGTTGGTGTGTGTGTGTGTGTGTGTGTGTGTGTGTGTGTGTGTGTGTGTGTGTGTGTGTGAGAGAGAGAGAGAGAGAGAGAGAGAGAGAGAGAGAGAGAGAGTCTACGGAGCAAGGTTGCAAGCTTGGTTGTCGCATACCGTAACGGTACAGACCAGAACAAGAACCGACCTCTCTCACATAGTACAGGATAGCGCAGCGGAAGGCTAAAATACCAATGATCGGACCAATCAATGTCGCAATGCAGACCAACCATACATCATCATCATCGCATAGTGCGAAGGGGACTGGCGCTCACACAGGAAGAATCCGCCAGACCCATACCATACACAGAAGAGGAGGAGGGGGATCAGACGAAGAAGAAGGGAAGATGGGAATGTCGTCAACACCAAGTCTTCGATATAGATCCCAAATAATCCCTCAGCCAATGTCGCTGACCCCAATGTCGAGTCTGAATCCAAATGTCGTCAAATCTCAAAGTCGCAAATCTCTCTCTCTCTCTCGTAGTCTGCAGGTACTGAGAAGTCAGGGAGCGAGAGGGTGAGGGAGAGATGGTGGACTTAAGAGGAGGAAGAAGAAGAACTCTCTCTCTCTTCTCTCTCTTGTGCCAAGTACTAACCTGTGAAGGTGGCGCCTTGTTGCAGGTACATCGAAGACGAAACTGGAGCTATGGCGCCACAGGTAAGTCTCCCTGGCCTCCGCCACGTCTCTGTCTCTCCCAACACTACTCTAAGCTCCTAACAGCGCCCAGCGCTGAAGACTACTCCTAGCGCTAGCTGCTACTACTACTACAGCGCTCCTGCAGAGTGCTGCTGCCGAATCCTGAAGACTACCTCCTGAACTGCACGTGAAGTGCCCATGAACTGCCTCCCTGCAGCCTGCAGGGAGGACCAGTACTATATACTGCTGGGCCGGGCGGTTTGCTGCTCTTGCAAATGCCGAAATGTGCCAGACCCTGGCGCTGAAGTTCAAACAAAGGTTGTCTTGAAACGGGCAAAAATGGCCTGCGCTGATCCCTGGTCTGGCRCCTGAGTTTCAGGAAAGGTCAACTTTACGAGGGCCTGAAAATGCCCCTCCTTTTCAGGCTTTTAGGCTGAAACGACACAGGGCCTGGAGGGCCCTTACTTTTTCGTCTGGTCGGGCCCTGCAGGCCCGTGTGGCTGCGCAGTATGCCACCCCCCCCCCTCCTTGAAAGACCAAGCTCACCTGTGAGGGCGAAGCTGCCTGTCCGAGGGAGGGACCAAAGTCCGGGTGGGAGGGGCAGGTTGTGAAGCTTCCTTAGCTAATCTTTGTCGCTCGTAGTCGGTGTAGATCAGCGGTGCAGATGCTTGCAAATCTGCTCGCCCTGTACGGCCTCGCTTGCATGCGGGGCAAAGTACACGGTGATGGAATCAATGCACCGGTCGATTGACATGTGCATGTAACCGTCGGCCAACGTGACTTGAGTGGGCTGCGACTTCCTCCGAACGTGTGGCCCCAGGCCAGCGCGTACCAGGAAATCTTGGCTCATATAGTTGCGAGTAGTTCCGCAATCGATCAAAGCGCTGCAGGTCGCCTCTCCGATCTGAATGCGTATGTACAAAAATGGCGCGCCGTTGTTGTCGCACCGTTGTGTCTTGAACCCGCGGACAATCTTCCCAAGGCAGTCACGAAGGTCAACAACCCCTACTCCGGCATCCATCAACGGAGCTGGTACTGCAGTGTGCAAATGATTCCGCAATTGTGCCATGAGTACGTTGCAATGCGGTTTCGGCAATCGACCAGTCGGGGAAGGGGCATCCATTGGAAGTCCACGAACGTCAACGGGTCGAGTCTCTCAAGTCTTGACCATGACGTCGAATCCCCGGCGAAAGTTGGCGGCGAAGCTGCCGAATTGGTTGCCGATGGTGATGAAACTGTGCATGCGGTGGATTGTCGCACGTGTAGTGGCTGGTCCAACGGTGGGACCAAGTGGACAGCGTAATCCTCGTAAGTGAACCGAGGACTTGCGACATCCGCATTCTCCCCAGATGTGTAGGAGGCCGCTAGCAAGGCGGCCGAATCTGGCAGAGTGAGAGGTGGAGTAGCCTCACCTCCCGTGCAGCTCAGTTTCCCGAGCTGATTCGAGGTCGAATATCCTCCTTGCCTTGATCTT